GTACAGACCATTTCCCTCGCCATTATTCCTTAGATACAGTGTAGCAGCTCTTTATACCAGGACTGTAAGTCATCTAGAGGTGATTTAAAGTGAATGGGAGGTTGTGTGCAGGTTCCATGCAAACACAACACCACTTGTACAAGGGATTAAAGTGGAGTCAGATCTGGGTATCCACAGTGAGGGCGCAGTCCTGAAGCCAACCCTCATGATGTCAAGGGACTGCTGTTTAATATAGTTTTTCTAACCTTCAGGAGACAGCTTTTATTTTAATAAGTGTCACAGAGAGGGGCCGGGGATTTAGCTCAGTGGTTCTGCCGCCTGCCTTGCAAGCGCAAGAACCTGAGTTCAATCCCCAGTACCAAAAAAAAAAAAAAAAGTGTCACAGAGAATTAAGTTAAATGTAACATTGTCTTTTCTGCCACTTTGGTTATTTGAGAACACTGCCAATCTGCAAAGGAGTGATTTATAAATCTAAATGTGATAAATCAATGACTATAGTTGAAAAATAACTGAAAGTGAAAAACTATTGACTGGGGATACTTATTTTCTGACTTTCAGAATCATGTTAAAAAGTTTCTTGAGCCAGGCATGGTGGCACACACCTGTGATCTCAGCGCTCAGTAGGCTAAGGCAGGAGGATCGCCTCGAGTTCCAGGCCAGCCTGGGTTAGTAGGCCTTGTAGAAATCATGGCCAGAGAGATTTGAGAGATTAGAGAGTCATTCAGCTCAGCTGATTGTCACTGGGTAGAAAAAAACTGAAAATCTATAAGCTTAGACTTGCTTATTCAGACTCTTTTTTTCATAATTTGACTTTTTTCTCTATAGTAGGAAAAAATTCAGATTAAATGATACTTTATTAGTGTAGCTTTATCAGTGCAAATTTCTTCCTAATTGAGAACGTGAGAGTGTAGATTTTGTAATTACGTGACGGCTGCTATTAAAATCACAGAGGCAGCTTTTGTTTATTTCCATGTTGTTTTGATGGCATACTATTAAAACCCTGTTCTGTGCAGATAGATGACCTCTTCTCCTAAGCATAATTTCATCAGCGGCTGTGTACAAACCTGAGCTTTTTAAAAGTCCAGTGCAGCTGTGTGCGGTGCAACACATGCAACTCCTGCGCTGAGCTGCAGCCGTCCTGATCAGTGAGGCGTTTACAAGGAGTCAGCTATGTGGAAAAGCTGGCAGGGGCAAGTTATTTCCTAGGTCTGCATAAAATCAGCGTCCCTGCAGCCAAACAGATGTGCTTACATTTGGTTTCTAACTCATTTGAGTGTGTACTCCCGTTAACAAACGTGACACAGACATAGTCGCAGCTGTTTGTTTTGGTACCGGGGATCCAACTCGGGACCTTGTGCTTGTGAGGCCGGTGGCAGAACCACTGTGCTAATTCCCAGGCCCTTGTCACAGCTTTTTAAGCATAAAGAATATTTCAAAAGTAGAATGCAAAAAAAAAACAAAAAAAGGAGAACGCAAACGGAACGTTGATAGAGCCCCAAAGTGCCTCTAGAGGCCCTGGAATCCTGCTAATGTAGCTTATGCTAATTTAAGAACTTCTGGTTTGGGAGATTACTAGTAGTTTCCTCCACAGACAATTTAAGCTGATGTTTAGGACAAAAATTATTTTGGGTTATTTGTATCTATGCTTTGTCTTTTCTACTAGCCATAGGAATCAACCTTGTGCTTTTTGTATGCTTTAATTTTCCATAATGAGGGCCGGGGATTTAGCTCAGGGGTTCGGTGGCCTGCCTTGCAAGCGCAAGAACCCAAGTTCAATCCCTGGTACCAAAAAAAAAAAAAAAAAATCTGTAATGAGTTACTTAAGAAAAGATGGTCTAATATGGTATCGGACTGGTTGCATTTGGAGCATAACGTGCTTTGGAAGTTTAGAGGCCACAGAGTGATAAGATTGAGTTCTAATTTAGGAAAGATTGCAATACTCTGAAAAGATTGCTGATAGCATTAGAAAATTAGAATTTTAATTTACCTAAGTTTTTTTTGAGGGGTGGTTCCAGGGTTGAACTCAGGTCCTTGTGCTTGCGAGGCAGGCGGCAGAACCACTAAGCTAAATCCCCAGGCCCCTCGGTTGTTTTCTAATCATCTTGCTCACTAGCAGTCCATCTTTTTTATATTGAGATATCCAGGTTCTAGCCACAGTGGCTATCTCATGCATCAGATATTGATTTTGCGGGGGGTACCAGGGATTGAACTTGAGCTTACGAGTCAGGCACAGTGCCACTGGGCTAAATTCCTGGCCCTATGATTTGTATTTTTGAACAAAAGCAAGTACATAGTCGAGTGTCTCATAGTTCTGTATTCTTTTGACAAATATTTGAAGGGGAAATAGGAAGAGATCAGAGGACTGTGACTTAATGCAGAAAATTTCTTGCCTTTCAGCCTGTTCTGTAAGCATTTGTTAGGTGCTTACAGCGTAGAAGTATTTTTACCAGATAAACAACCTAGACTTCCAGTAAGTTTAAGAATGTTTCAGAGGAGTTCTTTTTCATTTTCTTCTTTTCTGTTGTACTTTTCTGTTTGTTTTTTTTAATGGGAGCTTTGAGTCACTACCTACTTTTTAGCTAGCTGCCCAGCTTCCAGACATGATGAGTAGCTTTAAACTTTTTTAAAATTTTGGGTGTTAATAACAAGTAGAGAAGAACCAGGGATTTAGCTCAGTGGTACTGTGCCTGCCTGGCAAACCCGAAGTTTGGAGTTCAATTCCTGGCACCAAAAAATAAAATAGCAAGTAGAATTTTTAGGAGCCAGAATGCGTATATGATCTTTTGATTGTTTGGTTTTGTGTTTTTTGAGACAGGCTCCAGCTATGCAGTTTAGGCTGGTTTTGAAATTGCTACATAGCCCAGGCTGGGCTTGACCTCAGGGCAACCCTCCTGCCTCAGCCTCCCAAGTGCTAGGATTACAGGTGTGTGCCACCACTCCCAGCCTGCCTCACACATGACCTTTTACACACGAATGTCTGCTCCACGTCTTGAGTTACTTCTCCCGCTGGTGATGATGGACGTGGTTACTGACGCTCAGGGCTGTCTCCCAGCACAGTTGTCGCCCCGCCTCTGTCACACTGAACTCGTGACCCTGTTCTCATTAACACCTGCTTAAAGGACAGTTAAAGGGAGGCAGCCTTCCAGCTGCATCCTTTTGCTGTCTGGGCATTTACTTCTGGGCCTGGAGATCTGTACATCTTGAAATTTAAAAAATAGAAGAGTCAGGGATTTGGCTCAGGGGTGCCACTGCCTGCCTTGCAAGCACAAGGTCCCGAGTTTAATCCCCGGTACAAAAAAAAAAAGATGCTTTTGTAAGTTTTGTTTGAGACTCTTAGATATAGCCTTGTCCTGCAGACCATTAGAGATGCTTGCTGCTTTGTTTGTATTGTAAAGGTCCTTTCCAAAAATGTGGTCTCTTGTTACTTTTAGGTGTTTTGGCAGGGTTTTGTTAAAAACATTAAATACTGTCTTTGATTGTGGAGTTTAAATGTTTTGGTGGGTAAGGGGATACCTAACCCTTTGGGCTGTTACAGGATAATTTATTAGAGATACTTGCTACTTGTTTGTATTATAAAGGTTCTTTGAAAAAATTTGGTTTCTGTGTTACTTTTAGGTGACTGAAATAATGGCAAGAGTAAATGAATAGGCCAAAATATGACAAAAGGAAATTTCCACTTAAGAAATGAATAGATTATGGAATATTCCTAAAATGGTTTCCAAATCTCTTTTTTATTTTATCTTATTTTTGGTACTGGGGATCGAACTCAGGACCTTTCACTTGTGAAGCAGGCGGTGGCACCACTGAGCTAAATCCCTGGCTCTCCAAATCTATTTTAATGCTGGGAAAATTTTGTATTACAGTCTTTTCCTTCTGATTAATACTCCATAAATACAGTGAACAGAACAGGGGTATGTGGTAGAAGTCCACACAAAAAAATTAAAAGTGCTTTGATGTCATGTGGATAACTTCATGAAATTGTTTTTGGCGCTTGTGTTAAATACAATAAATACTGAAACTATTTCTCAGTATTTCCAGGTTAGTTCATTGTGTTTCTTGAAGCCATGCTTTTTACCCATTTGAGTAGTTTAGTTTAGCTTTATGTTTCAAATTCTGTCCCTGTAAATAGCTGCTTCAGAGAGCTTGCTTGTGTGGGTTGTACCTCGTCATTCAGTGGGGTGTGCTCGCTGCCTATTTATTAGTCAGTCTTTTGTGTTAGGTGCTCCGTAACCATCCCCAGAGTGCTATAAAAATAATCAGTGATAACCCTATGTCTTTCATTTGAGGTAGATGGGGTTCAGAGAAGATACCAAGTTCATTTATGAAACATTATCTGTCTACCTAACACTAAGGTCAAATTATGGCTCATATAAATGATAGATACAGTATATATAAATATTGTTGAAAGAAATATGAGTGGTCGTTACATCTGTGTTAAATAAAGGGCAGGATATAAAACTCTGTGCAGGGTATAACCCCTCTTTATGTACATCCAAAGAATCAAAGAAAATATCCCAAAATGTTAATGGCGATTTATAACGGGTGGTACAATTACAGGTAATTTTGGCGTTCTTGCTTGTAGTTGTGTGGGCAAGAATCTGAAGGGTGACTGTTTCCTTTGGAACAATTTATATGGACTTGAAAAACTATTGTGCTTGAATTCCAAGTCCACTTGTTCCCTTTCAGGTTGAGCTGTGTGATTCAAGTCGCTTTCAAAAAGATGTTTGGATGCATGGAGTAATATCCTAATTAATCATCTCTTTTCTAACAGTGCTTTGAGCTTTAATTTGTAGAGTGATTTGTTTCACTTGGTTTAGGGCAGCTTGGTAGTGAGGCTGGTTTGGCTCAGTTTTCATGAAGATCATTTAGCTTTTGTTTTGATACCCTTAAAATTAGCTGGGTACATTAGAAACGAAGTATGTTATTTCTTGTTTCAATGTCTAACTGTTGAAATGAGTGGTCTGGGTTTGAAAGGGAGTTGGCAGGGGTCGGGGTGCCTTACGTGGATAAGTCAGCAGCATAGATCTGTGGCCAGAAAACCTGCTCACACACCGTGGGTTACCATTAAGTAGCTCTTCGCTTTATCCTGATGTGAAGATAGCCTCACCTTTGTTAATTTCAGACAATCTGATCTAAATGTCTGATACTAATTAAGAAAATTATCTCAGTGTTAAGAAAATACTGTGCTCCCTCTGGCAGCACATACACTAAAAAGGAAAATACTGGCGCATGCCCGTAATCCCAGCACTCCGAGGCTGAGGCAAGAGGATCGCTATGAGTTCGAGACCAGCCTGGGCTGCACAGTGAGTTCCAGGTCGGTCTCAACTACATAGTGAGACCCTGTCTCAAAGAACAAAAAAAATAAAAAAAGAATATAGTGAGAAAATATTGTGGAGTCTTAAAAATGTTGACTTTAAAGGTTGCATTTCTATGGGATCCATTTTAAAAAGCAAAATTACTGTAATAATAACTTTAGAAATGTGACTCTTTTTGTTGGTTAATTCATTATATAACTAGCTCAGGTGCAGGGAGGATTCTACCTCTTTTTGCCTTCAGATAAACTATGGGCAGGATGCAAAGAGAACCTAATGAGATAAAGGTTTTTAGTGATGAAATAGGTTATTAGGAGAAGTGACGCTAATGAGTAGAGATGAGGAGCATAATTTGGGTAGGAAATGAGCTGGAATTATTAAGTATGGTGGTGCTGTGATGTTATTGACTGAAGCAGCTGGGTCCAGAGTTAGTTCTGCTTGATGGAAGACCTGATGGTACGTTTGATATTTATTTACTGTTTGATCTCTCTCTGTCTCTCTCTCTAATAGGTGATTGGTCTGTTGGACGTCTTTACACCTGCAAGGTCTCTGGAAGAGTTCAATGATGTGTGAGTAAATATTTTGTTTGCCTTCCTCTGCTAGAGGATGAAGGTGGGTTTTTCTGTTCCTGAGCCGTTTAGCAGTGTCCAGCCTTCAAAAGATCCGTCGCTCCTGTCACCCAACCCTCCCGCAGCTGGGGTCGATCTGGAAGCTGCGTGTCACGTGTGCTGCATGTCCGTATTTCCCCATTTCCAGCACACTGTGCCCGTCTCTACAAAAGGTCCACGGAGAGGACAGTAGAGGGAGTTTTGGCTGTGAATTTTCTTCTCAAATTGCCTATCCTAGCTTTTACAGATACTCTGAGAAATTAGCCTGGGCCGGGGATTTAGCTCAGTGGTTCCGCCGCCTGCCTCTGAAGCACAAGGTCCTGAGTTTGATCTCCGGTACCAAACAAAAATTGCCTTTGCCCGTTCCAGGTAGACTTTTTGCTCTTTTATCACCTGCATGCATAGGAGAAGATACTAGAAGTACGTGCTGATCTTTGAACTATTAGGTTTTTGCACTGGGACAAGGGTCAGACCCTCCAGGCTGAGAAATCCTTCTGTTGTAGCCTGGGATCCTCCTAGAAAGCAGAGCTTGCGTCTCAGGAACCTCCAGTGGGAACAAGAAACAGAGAAGGGAAGAAAACCGCTACAGGGTTCTGTTCTATAGTGAAGCAGTCCCAGTCACACTATGGGCAGGGGGCCAAGACTGCCCAGACGCGAGCCGCACAAAGTGCATCTCGGGTGGGGGTTTCCTTGAGCTCCTGACCCCGCTGGCTCTGGGGGTCATTAAGCCTTCACACAGCAGGCTGCACATGTGTGAGCACCTGCTCAAGCCCAGCCGGTGTTGCTGCTGTTTTCTGACTTGGGCAAATGCTATATTTTGGCTTAATGAGAAATTCTGGAGCCAAATTATGAATCTGCTTTTCCTATGTGAAAACACCTTAATTAAGAAAGAAAACTGTGTGTTTAGAGGATTTTTATTGATTAGAGGCTCTTATGTTCAAATGTAGCCACTAAACTCATTCATTCATTGGTTCGTCCAACAAGTACCACAGCTGCTGAACAGGAATCTACTTGTTCTGCTTAGCTGTAGCTGGATTCTGACTGTTCTTCATGAACCTCTCTTGGGAGCAGACCTGTCCTATTTGTTGATTACATCCTGAGTACAGAACACTTAGCATTGTGTGGGAAGAGGCTCAGGATAATCAGAAACACTAGTTTCTCCCCTTGTTGAAATCACGGTCTGGATGCAGGAAACAAATTCAGAATTGTATCCACGCCACCAACTGGATGATTTTGACCACTCGCTTTCCTCCTCCAGGTGCCAGTGAACTTCCCAGTAAGATGACAAAAAGCCAGGTCATTAGCTTCGGTATCCAAAAACCTCCGAAAATAGTGATAAGCTTGTGCTGGGGAAAATATTTAACTTTTACTTTTGTGTGATGTATGTGTTATTAAAACATTAGCACTTGTCCAGGACTATGGTTATTTCAGTGTTTTCCAAAGCCATACAATTCAAATACTTACTGAGTTTTAAATGTCTAGTTTAACAGGCAACCTGCAGACTTCTTTTGTAAGGGTGCATCTTTGAGAAAGGACGGGAGATAGTGAGTTTCCTTCTCCAGGGACAATAGGAGGCTACTGAATCTTACAGATGGAGATGGTGTTTGGAAGATATCTGGATCTTGTAAATTAAATGGCTGAAAATGATTGAGACATTTCTGTTGGCTTTTTTGTTTGTTTGTTGTTTGGATTCCAGGGATCAAACTCAGGACCTTGCACTTGTGAGGCAGGTGTGGCGCCACTGAGCTAAATCCCCAGCCCCTCTCTCTGTCATCTTCTTGACAGTAATATTTGGCCGGAGGCCACATATATGAGCATAGTGCATGCTGCCAATATTTAGAAATGCAAAGATTCTAATTAGCCTGTATTAGAACCTGAACCTAGAGTGAGCTTCAACTTCTGTCAACCACAGTGTGGCTTTTTCTTAATTGCTTTTTTTTAATGAAGCTTTGGCGAATGGAGGGTTTTTGAACTTTCCTGGGAACTATGTTCTTTTTTTTTTAGTGTTTTGAGACAAAGTCTCACTATGTAGTTGAGACTGACCTGGAACTCACTATGTAGCCCAGGCTGGTCTTAAACTCACAGTAATTCTCCTGCCTCAGCCTCCTGAGTGCTGGGATTATAGGTGTGCGCTACCACACCCGGCTGGAACTGTGTTCTTAAATTACAGGAAAATTGAATTTTCGTGGATTAGATAGAAATTAGTCTTCTGTCATGTGTTCTTTAATTTACAACTTCCCAGCCCAGGTCTCTTACAGTGAATTTCTTACCTCTGGTTCATTCTTTTTTTTTTTTTTGTACTGAGAGTTGAACTCGGGACCTTGTGCTTGCAAGGCAGGCGGCAACATCAGTGAGCTACATCCCGGGCCCCTCTGGTTCATTCTTGAAGAGGGAATTTTAAGTGCTGTGGTGTTGCAGAAGACCCGCAGCTGGGTCGCTGGGCGGCCTTCACCTCGGTGAGAGCCCGCAGGCGATGACCACCCAGCCTAGCCTTGCCCTGCCAGGCACAAGTGCTGACGAGTCAGTGCAGCCTCTCGTCTCAGTGTAGGAACCGGAGGCCCCGAGTCGGTGAAGGGAATCTCTGGATTTCCACTTTATTGATTTTATTCAATAAATATTTATCCACCTTCTACTAGCTATAACACTAACACGTGAGGATATAAGAAACGTAATCCTAACCGTTAAGACTTCTAATGATGGGGAAGAACAGTTCAGAAGATCCAACAGAAGACAGCGTGAGGAGTCCCCCGAGACCCCATGCGATTTGGCCCTGTGCCCTGGCCCACGTTCCCAGGACTGCTGCACGGGTTGCTAGTCACAGCCTGGACACATTCCACGTCACTACCCGGCTCTCTCTGGGTCCTCTCGCAGAAGCTCATTTTGCCGCCTGACTCTCCACCCACGCGGTCACGGACAAGTCCTTCCCCTGCTTTGTTCTCAGCAGCATTTGCATCATGGCCCTGTTACTGACTTTCTTCTCTCTCTGCCTCTAAACTCTCTGGGGTAGAGCTGTTCCTTCTTTTCTGAGTTGTTCGTACTGAGAACAGTGGGCGCCCGCTGTTTGGTGAGCAGGAATGCGAGGCTGCGATGGCGGGGCAGGTACAGGGTGCTCAGGGATCTCAGCACCACCGCCTACTCCCCGGCCTCGGGTGTCTTCAGAGGAGGCTTTGCAGAAGAGGCCGGTGCACCTTGAGCTTGAAGCCTAGTGGGTGTCAGAAAGGTGGGAGACGTGGGCGTGGAAGGAGGAGCCGGCCTGGGATGGATCGGGTCACCCAGAGTGAGCAGGTTGCCGGAGAGGAGACAGACAGCAGAGGGTCCTGAGCGGGGGAGTGGGATTGAGACAGGAGGGAAGGTTTTCCTCTTATGCTGTGCAACAACTCTGTCCTCCCTTCTCCCCACACAAGCACATTTCATAACGTGCAAGGAAAAGATTTAATTTTAGCACAGGCAGTGTTTCTCCTGAGTCTTTTAACGCATTAGAAAAAATTTCAGATGAGCATGCCAGGTGAAAATCCGAAATGGATTCAAGACTTTTCTGGGAACTAGAATTTATATAATGATGTTCTTCATTATTCATATCTGATTACAATTTTCTTTTTGCTCTGCTGTGGGTGGAACCCAATGCCTTTGCACTGAGCTACATTTTTTAACTTCTTGAGACAGGGTCTCACTAAGTTGCCTAGGCTGGGCTTGAACTTGTGATCCTCCTGCCTCAGCCTCCTAGAGTGTAGGGATTTCAGGAGTGCACCACCATTCCTGGCCTGATTTGAATTCTTGACTTTACAACTGTGTCCTTTCTTTCAAAACAGTGTTTTATGCATGCGGCGGGGTGGGGGGCCTGAAAAACATGTGCACAGGCAGTTCTGTAATACAAATGTTACTTTATTCATTAGCATCTACTGTTTTAGGAGGGCTTGGACATCGATTTTCTCATCTGATACAATCACCCTGTGAAGTACATACTATTATCTGTAATTTTCAGATGAGGAAACCAAGGTTGCAAGAGATGAACGTAATTATATATGAATACCTACAAAATTGCACCCCAGGTTTTTTGGCTCTAAATCTGTTTCTCACCACAGCTTTTTTTTTTAATCCAAAGGCTGTGATTATCATCGGAAAGCATACTGACTCTTTGTACTGAGTGAATCCTGTGTCAGCGTGGATAAAAGGAGCCAAGACGCTGGGCACTCTGTCCTCGGCTGCTTACGGTCTCATTGCGGAGATAAAGCATAAATACTTACAGGACTTAAGATAACTGAAGAATGGAATCGAGTCTGTAGTGTCTAAGCAACATCAGTGCGAAGTGAACTCAGACTAGCAGAGAAGTTTAGAGTAGGAGCTCTTCTAAAGAAAGCAGTAACGGTTTGCAGAAGCAGATAGGGCTGGGGTGTGGAGGGTGAAATTTATTTCAGTAACCAGCACGAAAGAAATGTTTGAAGTTCGCAGACAAATTTGTACAGGGTGGAGAAGTGTTACAGAAGTAGATAACCAGTGATTCTTCCTTTGTATTTGGGTAAATGGCACATTAGTTTGGGGGGGTTGGTGTGTATCTGTGCGTCTGTCTGCTTAGAAATAATGCCTGCCTTCTTTCGTGGGAAGAAACACCCAGTCCAGTTGTCTGGGCTTAGAAAGATACTGCTCTTCTGTGAGATTTGACTGAGTACTCAGTAGGTGATACAGGAAAAGGAGTGGTTGAGGGAGGATGGGTAGGTTAACTAACGGTGTTCATCCGTGCAGGGGTTTGTTCTGTTGGGGACCCGGGGTCTTGCTGTGTTGTGCGTGATCTCAGACTTCAGCTTCCCAGGGGCCTAGATGCAGGTGCGCACCTGCACCGGGCTTTCCTCTGTGCTCTTTCCCCACGGAGAGAGGTCTGTGAAGTGACACTGGTGGCCGGTCGAGCTCCTTGTAGATGTCTTCACTGACTCACATTTGGAATTGACACAACTGCACATTCTTTAAGAAAATCCCACCAGTTGCTGCCTGCTATGATAGTAAAATGCCACCTTTTTCTCTGAAATACGCAAAGAAACTTGAGGGCCATGCTTAGTTTGAGTCCTTTGAGAAATCTTTCCGAACTAACCCCTTCCTCAGGCTGTGTGGGTCCTTCTTCGTGTGTCTTCTGTGTAGCTCTGACCGTGCTGATGTATTTAAAAATGCCTTCTTCTTATCTAAACTGTTTTTTGTGGGGCTGGCATGGTGGAGCACGCCTGTAATTCCAGCACTCAGGAGGCTGAGGCAGGAGGATCTCTGTGAGTTCGAGACCAGCCTTGGCTACATAGTGAGTTCCAGGTCAGTCTCGACTACATAGTGAGACCCTGTCTAGACGTATTTGTGGGGCAGCGGATTTAGCTCAGTGGTGCCTGCCTTGCAAGTGCAAGGACCTGAGTTCAATCCCCCGTACCAAAAAAAAAAAGTGTTTGTGGGTGGGCCGAGGATGTAGCTCAGTGGTGCTGTACCTGCCTGGCAAGTGCAAGGTCTTGAGTTTGATCCCCAGTACTGAAAAAGGAAAAAAAATGTATGAAGAAGTGTTTGTGGGTGGATGAATGAGTGAATGATTGATCCTGCGCTGTCATCGTGTCACTGGTTAATGATTTGGCTGATAGCGTGCTCAGTGCTCCATCTTTTAACTAGCTTCTTTGTTTTTATCCTCTAGGGAAGACCATGTGGTAGAACAGTAAGCCTAGTTTGATTGATGCCAGTGATGTAGAGGGTACATTTTGTTTGTTTGTGTGTTTGTTTGTTTTGTTTGTTTTTTGAGACAGGGTCTCGCTAAGTAGTTCAGGCTGGCCTTGAGTTCACTGTGTAGCACAGGCTGACCTCAAACTCTCAGCAATGCTCCTGCCTCAGCCTCCTGAGTGCTGGGATCACAGGTGTGCGCTGATGCAGCCAGCAGAGGTACATTTTGGTAACTGTTGATTTAAATGAGAATAGTTTGTTGTGAAGTAAGCTTGCTGCCTGCCCGCTTGGATGCAGAATGGTTCTTTACCCCTTGCATTAGAACAAGTCAGTCTGCTTCCCAGATAAGATCGTGCGTGCATGTCTCCCTCACATGTCCTCGCCCTGTCTTACCGCACACTCATCTTGAGTCACCCTCCCAGCAGGGGCTGAGCACACCTACTGTCTGCCAGACCTGGCCCTAGGTGTGTTCGGCACTGCACGGAGCGGCGTGGAGCCTGCCCTCCTCGCACACGGGACAGGCGGACAGCAATGAAGAGCGCACGGAAAAGAAAAAGATGCAGCCTGTTAGCAGGCAACCCTGCAGGGACAGGGAAAAGCAAGCATGGCAGGAAGGGGTGTGAGGAGTGTAAGGGCGCGGAGGGATGGTTTAAAGTGGGGTGCTTAGGGTGGGCCTCACTGAGGTGGCTCTGATGTGGAGGGGTCAGAATACAGGCGTCCAGGGAGCAGCATTGCAGGCAGAGGGGCAGGTAGTGCCGAGGCCCTGAGTGGGAGCTTGCTAACTGGGGCTTTGGCGTGGCCGAAGCGCTTACTACGAAGTTTCACTCATAAGGCTCACTTTGAAAAGGGTGATTTGTGCTGTTTATAATTGATTAAATTTAAAGAAGAATATCTTCATAAGCGAGAAGAAAGATTTGTATTAGGCTGTGGAATTGTCTTTTCAGTCATTAGGCTCCTGAGGTCCGGCTTGATTGCTTTTTAAGGATGGGAGAACTAGATTGCTTTGCAACTGTACTTCCCTAATTTGTTTAAGGAGTTTAACTTTTAGTACATTTAAAGAATTTAGCCGGGCATGGTGGCTCATGCCTATAATCCCAGCACTTGGGAGGCCGAGGCAGGAGGATCGCTGTGAGTTCAAGACCAGCCTGGGTTACACAGTGAGTTCCAGGTCAGTCTCAACTACATAGTGAGACCCTGTCTCAAAAAAAACAAAAACAAAAAAAGAATTTAATTTGGGGACTTTGACACTCAATACAGTGACAGTATAAGGCATGGCCTTACTAAAATTAGTTAAATACGCGTTTCAGAAACAAATATTATAGATATTGTGTGGCTGTCTGTCAGCGCCCCTTTTGGGGTTGACCATTTTAGAGGGGGTGCTGGGGATTAAACCCAGGAAGTCACAGAAGGTAGAGGAGCCAGCCACATCTCTAACCGTGAAGTCGATATCAAAGTGTGTTAATTTTCACCCTCTCCACCTGCCTTGGGAGTTGGGATGCCGTCCGGAAGCTGTTTACTCTGCAGAGTGCTGACTTTGTCCTCTGCTGTTTTATTTTGGAAGGCTTTATATACATGAGGTTGAAATTTGCCAGTTGATGGTCGTGTATTGATTTGGGGGCTTCGAAAACAGTGCACAGTGAGGAGGGGAATTCCCATAAGACCCTTCTGCTGTGCGTCATGCTTTCCGGTTGATTTCACCATAGTGCAGCAGCTTCAAAGGTAAGAAATGTTGGTTCGTACTGTCCACAGACCCGCTGATCTTGGGTTCTTAGCGGGCGGCTTTATAGTCTCATCTCATTCTGGCATCCGTAGAGATAAAATGGAGAAGGGGTCTGAGAGAAATTACACAGTGGGGGAATCGTCTACCCCCCAGCCTACTCTTGTAACACTGAAATTGGATTCTTCTTCGGCCTGAGCCTTGAAATTCGTCATAATTAACATTGTGGTTATGGCAACCCATTATCTTAGACTTTTGAATGAACTCCTGATTTCAAAACTACCAGTTTTTCACAGTATCCCTATATTTATCAGGTTATATACCAATTTGAGGTTTAAAAATGTGGTGACTATGATCAGGATGGGATTGTGCTAGATTCTTGCTAGCTTTTCTTCATTAAAGATCGATTCTGATAATAAAGGTTGAGAATTGTTAAGGACACTGTTGAGGTAACACTTCCCTAGCTGTTGCGACATTCACCCCCCCCCATGTGGGGTTAAACCTGGGCCCTTTGCCCTGACCCGTATCCCAGTCCTTTTTTCATTTTTTAAATTTTGAGGATTTAGTTCCGCCACCTGCCTCATAAGCCCATAAGCACAAGGGCCCGAGTTTGATCCCCGGTACCAAAAAAAAATTTTTTTGAGACAGTGTTTTGTCAAGTTGCTAAGTTGCCCAGGGTAGACTTCAACTCTAGATCTTCTTGCCCCATCCTCCCAGAGTGCTGGGATTACAGGTGTGCTCTACCATGCGTGGTTTGTAAACTATTTATTTATTGATTGGTACTGGGGATCGAACTCAGGTCCTTGGGCCTGCGAGGCAGGTGGCGGAACCACTGAGCTAAATCCTGGCCTGTTTATAAAACTTTTGGGGGGGGTACTGGGGATCGAACTCGGGTCCTTGTGCTTGTGAGGCAGGCAGCAGAACCACTGAGCTAAATCCCCGGTCCTATAAAACTTTTTAAAAAGGTCATTCTCTTCATGTGAATCCTGTGGAAGACTTGGGAGGCAAGCTGTGCTGTGATTGAGGTCCTGCTCCCTGCTCGTGACATCGGTGTTTCTTCTGCCCTTGAGTGGGTCATTTACCCGTGTTAGGTCCTTGTGGCCTCTTCTCTGTGTAGAGGTGCTGGGAAGCGAGCCCGAGACAGTCCTTCGCAGAGTTGGTGCTGGCTGCCTTTGGTTGTGCTGTGCTGTGTTGTGCTTAGAACATCTCTTCGATCCAAGCTGTCTTCATGAAAACACTGCAGTCTAATTTACTCTTTAGATTAGCTGTAGAGTTCACCCTTTCCCCAAAGCAATATAAACAACACTGAAGTTTCAAAGATAAGAAATGCTAAAATCTACCCTGTGGTCTAAGGTTACAACTAGGCTAATCCTGTTGATCTTTGTGAAATTGAGAACAGCGGCCTACGGTGAAATTTTGCTAAGAAATTCAGTTCCTCCTCGAGGAAAGCAAGTCCCTCCCTGAACTTTAAAAAATCCACCTCAGTCCTAGCCTAGTTCTGTTTCCATGCTGTGTAATTCAGTAATGACTGGGTTATGGCACTGGGTCTAGAATTTCAGTGCCGAACCTGTTGGACTTGAATGTAATTGCGCCCGCCTTACCGCATAGGGAGGATTAATAATAACCATTGCCACACCCATGGTGCAGTCCTGGGCTGCCTGGTCCTGCCCACGGTCAGATGTGCTCCTCCCTCCTTTAAGGGAGATGCGGGGACGTTGTCGTGGAGCCATATCCTACTGCCAGCCACTCCTGAGAGAAATCACAGTTTGGGAAAAAATCTAAAGATTCTCCTACTTTGGATTCTATCATGCGGAAGGTTTGTAATAAGATGAAAATATAGTAATAGTGGATTTAAAAATATAAGGTACTTTATTTTGGCCATCATTTAGCTACACTGTGTATTTCTCCTGCAAACAACTTTTTTTTGTTGTTAAAACCGACACCAGTGCGTGCCTCTTCCAGTCTCCATCTTTGCTTTTTCCGTACTTTTCCTTTTTTTCTTTAGAGAACCCAGGAAAAGGTACAAGTAGGATTGAGTATAAATGTTAGATGAGAGGACCGGTGGAAAGGGTGGAACAGTGATGCTGAAATGGAGGCTCCGCCCTCCCGACTCTCCCAATAGGTAGTTTTTGCGTTTTTACCTGTTGTTGAGGTACTCTCTGGGCGGGCTTTCCTTGAAAGCCTTTGAAAGTCTTAAGAAGGTCAGCGCTTTCCTGGGCTTCTGCATGACTGTGTAACTCTCTTCTTGCCAGGTACCTGGTGACACATCTCATGGGGGCAGATCTGAACAACATCGTGAAATGTCAGAAGCTCACGGATGACCACGTTCAGTTCCTCATCTACCAGATTCTCCGAGGTCTAAAGGTACAGGCAGTGTCAGCAGTACTTTTGGGAGGTGAATCCTTCCCTCCCTCCCCTCCCTTCCACTGAGGGCTCGGGGGCCAGGGATGTAGCTCAGTGACACCGCTGCCTGCCTCGCAAGAGCGAGGTCCTGGGTTTGATCCCCAGTACCAAAAACAAACAAACAAAATAAAACCAAATAAGCAAACAGTTTTTCCTACCGAAGGTTCAACACAAAATCATGAGCAGTGATCATAATGCGATAGCCTGCCAGTTCACTCTGTGACCACAGCTAGCAACCTTGTTTCTTTTGTGTTTCCTACCCACGGATTATTTTAAAGCACTTCTAGGCACTCACAGATATTAATTATAAATATCTGAGAGATCAAGACTTCACTGTTATATCTGCAGATTAATAACTCTTGGTGTAATCCCATGCCTATCTGATCATTGTAATGTTGAGGCTTTTTAACACACCTCAAGGAAGCCAATGTAACAGTGGGAGGAGCAGGTAAACAATGTTTTAAAATCAGACGTCTTCGATATTTAGCGCCTTTGAGTCCTCAGTGGGCTGCGGGGTACCAGCCAGGCGGAGAGCTGCTGTGAGTGGAGCTGGCCACTGTGGACGGTAAACGTGCAGGGCCCTGGACCGCACCGAGTTCACAGCTCACTGCGAACCAGAGGTTCCTCCTGATCCATGAGAATGTGCCGAAACCTGCCCTAGAGTGTGACTTCATCTAACGGACTTTTCTCTCTCTCACAGTACATACACTCAGCCGACATCATCCACAGGGTATGTACCGCGCGTGGGGAGGGGAGGTGGGCAGAGGAATGGCGTTTGGCTGCCATCTTCACAGAAACTTCCTTTGAACACTTGAGATATTGATTGGTGGGTTGCAGCTTTACTCCGGGTTAAGACCGATTAAAGAAATTTATAATGGGTGCCCTTTTAAGGCGGATCTGTCCCAGATACTGATGTTAGGTGAGGGTGGGCAGTGCAGAGCTGGATGAGGGCTTGACCGTTGCGTCTGGGTCCTCATTGCTGCCATCCTGGGAGGGGGTCCTTGTCGCGCATCACACAGCTGACCCCGTCCTGTGTCTGCTTGGTTCCCAGGACCTCAAGCCCAGTAATCTAGCCGTGAATGAAGACTGTGAGCTGAAGGTAAGGGGGTGCCCCAGCGGTGATCATTTCGTTCCGTCCTGAGGTTGTTTGTTTGGCTGACCAGGCAAGTGTTCATCGGGAATGAATTTGTAGGCTGTGACTTTTTATCTGAGTACGTATTTGTCCTCAGGATATCAGACTTTGACACTTAAACTGCAGTGACATCTGAAGTGGTGCTAGGTGTCTTGTTTTCAATATAAAGTAAATCAGAAATGTAATATAGTAATTAGAACAAAGGGTAATTATCGTCTGACTACCAAGTAAGCAGTCCTCTTTAATTATTAGATGAAACAGATTGCTAAGAAGAATATTGCAGAAAACTACTCACTCAGAATAATTCAAATACGAGATTGGGTAATTGAGTATAAAAGAGCAAGTCGGGCTGGGGATTTAGCTCAGTGTTTCCACTGCCTTCCTCACAAGCGCAAGGTCCTGAGTTCGATCCCCGGTACCAAAAAAAAAGAGAGAGAGAGAGAGCGCAAGTAACTTTGGAAGTTTTTTGTTGCGTTTCATTTTTTTTAAGTCAACTTTTAAAGAACAATTGCAATATAATACACCATTTTAAGTGTACCTTTGGGTAAACTTCCAAACCCATGTAACTACCACCATTGTAATAAAGAATCTTCCCTTCATTGCAGAAGGCTCCCTGGCCCCTTCCTATAACCCTTCCACACTTAATCCTGCCTCCAGTCAGTGCTGCTGTGCTTTCTGACCCTATAGATTCATCTTTGCTAGCGTTTCCAATGCGTGGGATCCTGTAGTATGTATTTTTGTGCCTCTGGCTTTTACTTAATGTCTTGCTTTTTGCTGTGTGTTACGTGTGTCAGCAGTTTCTCCCGTCCGAGACTCGTGTCACCAAGTTGTGTTCCACTTCACGAGATCAGAAGTTGCTTATCCACCTGTTACATGGGCATTTGCTTTGGTCCTGGTTTGGGGCTTTGTAAAGCTACTGAGGCTATTCATGTGCACGCTTTTGTATGTATGTTTTTATTGTTTTAAGTCAATACTTAGGAGTTACATTTGTATTTTCCATTAGTTTTGTTTTTTGAAAGTATGATTGCTAGGTGTTAACCATTTCTGAAAGTGTTGTGTTGTTTTCCTGAGACAACAGATTATTCCCCGCCTGCTCTAGAGGTCTTCGTACCTTGCCTGTCCCGGTGCCTGATCTCTCTTCTCCCCCTCAGATTCTGGATTTTGGACTGGCTCGGCATACTGATGACGAAATGACAGGCTACGTGGCCACCAGGTGGTACAGGGCTCCTGAGATCATGCTGAACTGGATGCATTACAACCAGACAGGTGCCACTCGCGTTGGTTCTTTCTGCCTTATCAATACTAGTTCCAATGAATTTGGTAGAGAAATAGATGGTGGGTGTGGGAGGAAACATCTCTCTTCCCTTGGTGATCCCTTTAATGCCCGCGAGTAGAAAATATTTCACTTGCTTAGATGGGGAAGCGCGCTTCTATGCACAGCTTCCAAACTTTGTGATTTAGCAATTGGGGTTTTATTTATTTATATTTTCAGTGTAATTCTGTGAGTACTTCTTTCTGAAGACAGTGGGTTCATAATCTTAAACCCTCAATATTATTTGAGAAGGCTGTATGTGGTGGTGCACGCCTATAATCCTAGCACTCAGGAGGCTGAGGCAGGAGGATCCAGACCAATCTGGGCTACATAATGAGACCCTGCCTCAAAAAAAAAAAAAAATTACTTGAGAGGATAAAATATGCTAGTAATAAAAAAATTTCCCCCCTTATGAGTAGTTTACTTCTTTTACATTAAGTATGTTTTGATTTGACTTACGTATAAAGCCCTTTATTAAGACCTTTAAGTCACAGGTCTTAATAAACTTTCTTATATCTATAAAATGGGTATGATGTTGAACATGAGATGTCTTACGTATTAATTGGAATATTTTACCCCTGGTTATGGTGTCATTTGTGACAAAGTATAATAATAGTGTTGATGCATGTACTTTTACTTGATTTATGTATTTTTTTCTTGTGTTCGCCCTATGTGCTTTATTCCTCTTTAACTTTGCCAGTGGACATCTGGTCAGTGGGATGCATAATGGCTGAGCTGTTGACCGGAAGAACATTGTTTCCTGGTACAGACCGTATCCTTTAAGAAGTTTCGGATCCTTGTTTCTTCTCTGTACTCCGGTGTCCATGGATGTGTTTTCCCTCTACTTACCTGTAGGGGAGGCTCTCCGTTTCTTGCTTTTATGGTCCAGATACTCATGAGGTCTGCGCTCAAGCTGAGTAGTTTACCTGGCCAAGAAAAGGCTTCCGTTTATTTCTGTCAGATGGAACGGTTTTCAAAGGCTGAAAGTCATTTTTACCTGCCAGGTGTCGGGAACGTGCCCCGAATCCCATTAACCTGCCCCGCGGTTCTGAGACTGCATACACGGGAGAGGATCTAGATCCCGCTGTGCGCAGACACCAGCCTGTAAATCAAGGGTGTCTTGCTGGTATGTTTGCTTTAGTTCCCCCGAAGGGCTCTGTTGGTCCCTGTAATGACCTACCCGCGACCATTGTTATGCTTATTGTTTTACAACGGATAGTAAAAGCAAGAAGCGAGAAGGCCATCCTGTCTTGTGCTTTTGTTTTCTAACACAGCTTTGTCCCAGACTCAACTGAACCTCGCGTTACTACCAGCCCAGCCTACAGCTTTCCAGCCCCTCTCCTCTCCGCTGTGTGCAGCTTTCTTGGTTGAGTACTAATGTCATCAAAATGTGATTTATTGGAACTCTCATCAGTTCCACTTGGGGAAAAAGTTTAGGGAAATAATGTTAAACGTATGTCTAGAATTGGTTGAGGGATTTTTGTAAAACTCGGTTGCCTGGCCTTCAGATGGTTGTGGTTGTGCTTTTAGCAATGCTGCAGCTCCTCTGTCCTGTCATCGGGAGTTCTGATGCTAGACAAGCCCACTGGGTTCTAAGCCGCGCCAGTGTTCCTGCGTACAGGGGGTGAGCTTCTGTGACTGTGATGTTCTGTCGTCTGTCACGTGTTCTGTGCGTCACGCCTTCTGCTGGAGACAGTGCCTCTCCTCAGGAACGAAGCAACCTGTGCCTCAGGTGAGGCTGACTTCTCTCAGAACGTTACAGATGTAATAACAGAGTTCAGCTTCTCTCTGCTGAGCTCACCGCACTTCTCCCACCCTGGATGTGGTTACCTTAATACCTAGTATTTTCCCTGCCCTTTTTTCGTTCATTTTATCTGTTTCTCAAAGCTTGCTGTATATATTGCCACTTAAGTTGAGAGAATTAGGGAAGAATTGTGGTTCCCCTGGGTTGTCCTCTGAGCAGAGGCTGTCCCACCTTCCCTTCCTCCTGGTGGTGTCCGTACCTCCGGCTCCCGCTTGGCCAGCCGCCCATACGCTTGCTGGCCTCGACACACAGCGGCGCAGACCGTGTAGCCCGCTGGTTAGGAGCCCGTGTCCTGGAATCAGACTTCCTACATTAGGTCTTAGTTCTTTTACATCCAGCTGATGGCTTTGAGCGAGTTTTCTAAACTCTGTGTCTCTCAATTTCCTTAACTGTAAAATGAGAATAACCATACATAACTCACTAGGTTGTTGTGAGAATGCAGCAAGATAATATCTGCAAAACACTTAGTCTGAAATCTTTCCATAAATGCTAGCCATCTTCTTCATTACTGGTCTTGGAAACGTCTTTCCTTCTCCTCCCACTTTATTGTTTCTCCTTGAATCATTGATGATTAATGTAAAGAAAAATTGTGAGACAGGTAGTACAGACTAGAAGCCCTTGGCAGGGTAGCGGTAGAAAGTTTTCAGAGCACTGTGGTTCCTGAGCCTTTCTTCCTGTCTCCTCCCAATGGCCTGGCTCTTGTAGAACGCTTCAGCCCATAAGAAAGAGATTCAGGGACTGAGTACCCTTGCTCGTGTCAGTCGCCCTCTGTATGGATAAAGCTGTTTCCCAGGACTTTTCCTTGCCTACAGAGCACTGCATTTGGTTCTAGCATCATGTTTTTAACCCTTGCTGTGCATCAGACTCACTCTCTGGGGGCTTCAGAGTCCCCAGATGCCTGAGTAACACCCCGAGGACTGCACTGTAGGTGGTGTGCGCCAGCCATGGGCCTCGGGTGTGAAGTCTTGTGGTGACTGTCTTGTGCAGCAGGCTTGAGAACGACTAGGGTTTAATTCAGTCAAATTAGTTTTAATCTTGGCTGATCCTGAGCAGTTAGCTTGGCAGCCTTTCATCATTTTTCCGAAGGTGCTAGCAGGATCAAGACATTTCTTTCTAGCATTTAAATCTTTACTGTTCTGACTTCCGAAACTGCCCTGCTCAAAGCTGCTGGAGCCTGGTGCTGGCCCCACACCCTCTGCCTTGGTTCCAAAGGCGTGCAGCTGCTCTAGCTATGGTTTTTAAACGCAGCTCCCTGTCGAGGCAGCCTCCAGAGAATGCTTTTCATGGAATGCTTTTTAGTTCTCTGCCTGTTTTCCTCCCTGCCAACACTGCATGTTGTAGCTCCTGGACAAAACCCATCCGATGGAACTTCATGGTACTGCCAGTGTGTTCTGTCTGTTGTCCAGGCTGGCCTTTGTGGCTGTCGAAATATGGCTAGTGTGACTCAGAAACTGAATTGAAAATGTTTTGTGATTAAAAATATATATATAACAAAATTTACCACTCTCACTTATGTCATAAGGTGGTAAAATATACATAACAAAATTTATCATTTGGAGCCGCTTTTAGGTTCATAATCCAGCCCCACATCGGTTACCTGTTAGGTGACTGTCAGCACTATCACTCCCGTGACTTGGCAGAGCTTTCCCTCAAGGCGAGGCGAGCAGACCCTGTCCATCCAGTGGCCCAGCAGACAGACCGGATGTTAGGAGGGAGGGAGGATGCAGGCCGGCTCCTCCCAGGGTGGCGCTAGCTTACTTCAAGTGCCATTGATTTTGAAATGAGTGAGTCAGAAAATGTAGTTCCTGACTCTTGACATGACAGCAGACAGGAGAGAGAAAATGAGTTTGGCAGCCCTGTTAATGTGTCACAGGCAGTGTTTTCTATCAGAGATCACAGCCTTGGCTTGCGAATGGGCTGCTTAATTCTGCTGTTTCTCATTTCTTCTTTTGATCTTCCCTGCACGTGTTGCTGAAGTGTTCCAGGCACATCACCAGGCCTGATGTAATGAAGGCCTGTGTCCCCTCTGCCTGGGGCGTGCGACACAGTGGGAGCCCTCTTGTCACCTCTGCCCTTGGCTGTTGGTCATTGGTTTCAAATATTCTTCCTCGTTTCCAAAATAAAAGCCGTTTTCCTGTAGATGCTAAGAGGCATGCATCTTACTAAATATTGAGAAAGAAAAGATACTTAACAGATTATTCACCTGCTTGCTTCTCTGACTTGAGAATATATTTTCCCTGAAATTCTCAGGCTTGGCCACAAACTCAGGTTACCTTAAGAGACCTTTTGTGTACGACAGTGAAGATGACTATTTTGACAACCCACAGAAGCAGGAACGAGGCTGGGTTTCACCCCACTCCTCCTGTCACTAGGAGAGCTTCCTGCTCGCCGAAACACCAGTGGAAAGGCTGCTCACAAGCAGGCAGCTGCCCTGCTGCATCTCACCTTGCTGGCCTGGCGGAGGTTTCCAGAGTTGCCTGGAGCACTTCACAGGGACTGGAATAGCACTCTGTTACATTCCTGTAATTGCTGCATTACTTTTCATTTTTTCCCTTACCTGTTCATTCTCACTATTTTTTGCTTCTGTTACAAAGAGGTTGATCTAAAAATGTAATCCTAGGCCTAAGTCATGCTTTTCTACATTTATTTTAGAAGGGCCTTGGAAATTTAAGATTTTAGAGGGCCGGGAATTAGCTCAATGGCACCTCACCTGCCTCGCAAGCTCAAGGTCCTGAGTTCAATCCCCGGTACCACAAAAAGGAAATTTAAGATTTTAAAATTTAGCTGTGCATGGTGGCACACACCTGTAATCCCAGCACTTGAGAGGCTGAGGCAGGAGGATCACTGCAATCTGCGGCCAGGCTGGGCTGCATAGTGAGTTCAAGGCCAGCTTGAACTACACAGTGTAGGGGGCTGGGGATTTTAGCTCAGTGGTTTGGTGGCCTGCCTTGCAAGCGCAAGGACCCGAGTTCAATCCCCGGTAGCTGTGCATGGTGGCACACACCTGTAATCCCAGCACTTGAGAGGCTGAGGCAGGAGGATCACTGCAATCTGCGGCCAGGCTGGGCTGCATAGTGAGTTCAAGGCCAGCTTGAACTACACAGTGTAGGGGGCTGGGGATTTTAGCTCAGTGGTTTGGTGGCCTGCCTTGCAAGCGCAAGGACCCGAGTTCAATCCCCGGTACCCGCCAAAAAACACCCAAAAAAAAAAAAAAAAAACTTCACAGTGAAACTGTGTCTCAAAAAACCCCAAATGTTAATAATACTAGATATTGTGATCATCACAAGCATTCTAATATGCTTTTTGTGTGTGTGTGTACCAGAGATCAAATTCAGGACCTTGCGTTTGCAAGGCAGGTGCTGTGCCACTGAGCTAAGTCCCCAGCACTAAAATGCATTTTACACCAACAGAAATACCGTCTACCTAGGGATGAGGGGATCGAGCCCACTTACAAAGGGTAGCTTGCTGCGGAAGTCGTTGTGTGCCAGCCGCACTAGTGAGTTTACTGTGCTCTGCTTTGCAGCTGCTTGAAGCTGCTTCAGAGGATTTGCGGGCTTTCAGAGAGCTCTGGTGATGTCTCCTGAGGTCTGCTTGCTTTGTCTTCGTCATGCAAGTGCTTTTAGCCACTCAGTGGATTTTTTCTTTCACATTGTCTGTGTCCTCAGCGTGTAAGTATTGGCTGGCTGTCCACAGCCGGTACACTCCTGGCGCTGTAGGTGTGTGCTCTCTTCGGTGTAAACGTTTTGGAACAGGCTGTCTGAGAACTTCGTGAAGCCCGGAAATCCTTTTCGTATATAAAACTTTCTGTAGAATACGGTGGCTCTGGGCTTTGAGGGCAAGGTGGAGGCGCAGAGGGGAATTGAGAAGTATATCGCACGCAGCGAGTCTTTTCCCAGGCTGCTCCCTGGAGGTGCTGGGGAGAAGGCGGTGCCTGTGCTCAACCTCAAGATGGTGAGACAGAGTGGGAGGTGATTTACAGGAGTTGCTGGGACAAATGCTTACCTGTAGCTTTCAGCAATATTGGAGCCATAAAAAACGCTGAAATAGAGCCATAAATTATTTTTTAAAGTAAATAATTAATCCAAGCTCGAGATAGTCAGGAAACCTCCACAGCAGATTCTTGTTTTGCATGGATCTTGAGGGTTACTAGGAAGAGAAAAGGCCTGGCCCCAAGGGAGAGTGGACGGTGTTCCTTGTTAACAGCGCGCACCAGTAAGCCTGGGAGTGCAGGGTGCTTGGGGTGTTTGGTGTGTGGGTTCAGGAGTGGTAGGCAGAGGCACGGTCAGGAGAGGAGCTGGATGTCAAATCTGGAGGGCCAGGTGCCAGGCGGAGGCGTTGAGGTTCAGGTGTCCACGCTGAGGTTTGCTTCGTAGCAGGAGCTGGAGAGAAGACTGAGGCCTGGCTCCCCAGGTTTGGGGAGCTGCTGTGGCCCTCCAGGTAGGCGGGGGGACTCAGGCAGCCGAGGGGCTAGGGTGAAACCTGGAGCTGGGATCTTCTCTTTGGGTAGTCAGAGCAAAGTATCTTAAACAAGAATAGCAATTTCAGCAGCTTTATTTGCGGGGTCGTTTTGTTGCGTGTACCCCAGACCGCCTTTGCAGGGTGGGTGTAGTGTGGTGTTTCTCATAGGAGGGACAGATACATTCCATCTTGTCATTCCTGAAGAGTGAGAGTAATTCTAAAGGAACAGAGGAGCTCTCTTACTGATAATGGATCTGAGCGCGTTAGAGTAGGACAGGATCCATCTCACCCCCAGTCCGCTCTGTCCCCACTGACATATGCTTGCAAAAGTGTTTCTTGTCAATGTCAATACCTACGAAACCAGGAATACAGTTTAAACCTTCAGAACACACTGATTTTTGCAGAAGACAATTGTGTTTCCTACTGTCCTTACTGTAGAGATAACGTACACGCGTGGCTGTGTTTCTGCTGTGTCTTTACTCTCTGCAGGATGCCGTTGTTCAGGTCTGGGATGGACTTAGCGCGGTTTTTCATAAAGGGCCAGATACCCGGGGATTTAGCTCAGCAGTTTGGTGGCCTGCCTTGTAAGTGCAAAGACCCAAATTCAAATCCGGTACCAAAAACAAAAAAACAAAACATAAAGAGCCAGACAGTGATTATTAGGCTTTCAGAACCACGTGCTTTCTGTTGGACTCTGCTGTGGTGCTGTGAAAGCGGCTGGGACCAACTGTGAAAGAGCCGGCCTGGCTGTGCTCCAGCGCAGCGTTATGGAGAAAGCAGGCAGCGGGCTGGGGTTCACTGACTCCTGTCTAGAATTTTCTTCCATTTAAGTAGATTTTGTTTCTGAAAACAAAACAAGGCAAGATGCCAGTCATCCTATTGCATAAGTAATTCCGGTAGCTTAGGCAACTATGGCTTGCAGAAGCCATTGTTTTTCAGTTATGTCATCTGAGTATGTTTTTCCACCCAGTCCTGTGTTCTCAGATATTCTACACGGCCCTTATCTGCCAGATGTTACACTACGCCCTGGGCATGGATGGTGAACAGGCCATCAGACAGCGAGCAGGCGAAGTAATTCTAGGTGGTGCTCAGCACTGTGACAATCTGGCCTGTGCTGAGCCGGACCAGGTGGGGCGTTCTCGGGTACAGCTTCAGGAGGAAGTTAGAGCTGAGACCTAATCGTGTCAGCCTCTCCTTCCTCCCCACCATATCAGCATAGATCCCTCTTCTTTTAACATTTTTTTGGGGGGGAGCGGGAATTGAACTCAGGACCTTGTGCTTTCCAGACAGGTGTGGTGCTACAGAACTACATCCCCAGCTCAACTTCTTTTTTTTTAAGGCAAGTCCAAAAACATTGAAAACAAATGGAGATGTTTCCTCCTTCTTTTTTTTTTTTTAATTGGTACATTTTAGGCATACAGTACAGTTACATTCACTTTGGGGATCTTGTACCTTTACATGACAGGTCTTGGTTCTCATTTTTCCCCTTGTCCCTGCCGAGATGTTTCCTTCTGATTAGCACGTGCACATACGTGGTGAGTATACACAGAAGTGTAGGCCACCGGAAGAATTTGGGGATCATGGCATAGTATGGAGAGCCTTTAGGACGAGTGAAGTTATTCCAGCATTCTGTATGCATTTTGTGTATGAGGGGAAAACCCGCATCCAGCAGCTCTTATGGTCTCCTGGAGAAGGCGCGGTGCAGGGCGCCCTCTGCCGACAGACTGCTGCTCACAGTTCTGGGCCTTCCGTGAGGGAGGCTCCTACCGGGAGGGCAGGCTCTGAGCTCCTAGCAGGCTCCATCCACTGTCAAACTCCAACCTCGGGTGGTCAGGCCTTAGGAAAATGTGCACGAAGAGGCTCTGCCCCTAACGCCTCTGCCTTGCCGCTTTTTTCTCCTCTGTGGCCCTGTGCTTTCCAGTGCTCCCTTCTTGACTGGCTGCTGGTGCTTTGGAGGGTGGTCAGTAAGTGTAGTGAGCCTCTGTGTTTCCATTGCCACCTGTCAGCTGAGGCCTAGCCAGCTTTGCTTCACTTCCCTGGTGTGTGGCGTCGACGGGCACAGAACGCCCCAGGGCGGACTGTTGGCGGCCCTCGGATCCGTGTGCAGGGGGAGCGTGTCCCGTCCAAGTGACCATCCTGCAGAAGCCCTGGCCTACGTGAAGGACCCTGCTGGGTTGGTTTGGGATTTTAATTTTCGTTCTTGGAATATTTTGTTTTTTGTTTCCTTTTGTTTGTTATTGTTTGTTTTTCATTTTTATTTGTCCCAACATTTTCCTTATAGTCCACCATTAGATATTGATCAGTTGAAGCTCATTTTAAGACTCGTTGGAACCCCAGGGGCTGAGCTTTTGAAGAAAATCTCCTCAGAGTCTGTGAGTTGATGCTTTGATTGTAATTCTCTGCCCTGTTGGGAGCCTCTGCCACTTCCCTCCCATCAGTCCTTTGACGCTGGTGTGTGTGTACGCACGTGTGCAGTCTGTGTGCTGACTTCCATGAGGTAAGCGTGTGTGTGTGTGTGTGCATGCCTTGTTCTCTCTTTATCTGGGTGTGTACTTCGATGATCACGGGAGCCTTTCCTGGGCAGTAGAATCCCAGTAAAAATGTAATCTGGGTCTGTTCCCAAATCCTGACTTCATCTTTCTCAAAAGTTCCACTCACACACACTTGGAGGTTACGGTTAGATCTGAGAGCGTGAACTTCACATTGCATTGGTCTTAACTTCATCACCAAAAGAGTGAGGTGTGCGTTGTCTACATGCTGTTGGCCCTTTCCAACAGTCACTCGCTGATCGTTACTTTAGAATAGACAGCTCATACACTCGGCAGAAGGTGTTTGTTCCCAGCCAGGCTACCAACCTCCAAGCCCTCAGCTCCACAGGGTATGGTCATTGGCCTTCCTGGGAAATTACAGTTTACGTACCCTGGAACAGGCTTTGGAGCTAGTGCTTTCCTGCCCCAACACAGTTTGAGACAGAGGCCATGAGAATGTGACTCTGGCTTACTCTGGCTACAGCTTCCTGCTGTTGGTCATTCACATGGGCCAGAGATGTGAGAAGAGCCACGAAAGCTCATTTTCCCTCTCTCTGCTGCCAAGTAGTTGGACAAAGGGGAAAAAGAGCCACGGAGCCAAGCTCCAGCTGTGCCTCCTGGATGCGTTTCCCAGCTCTGACAGAAGGGCCCTCGGCCCACTAGGACAACTGTTGGGTGGTTGAGGCGGGCTGAGCAGGTGAGTCTGCCCAGTCCCCACCCGCAGAGCGCAGCAGCACCCTGCATCTCTCAGAGGACCATAGAGCCCAGTGTGGTCTCTCCGTTCCCGCTCTGACGGATGTGAAGGGCTGTTCTGGCCCTGTTTCTTTTTGTTTCGTTCTCCTAATCATAAGATGAGGAAGCCAGAGTGCAGAAAACCTGTGACTTGCTCTAGTCATGCGCTGAGTCACTTGGCAGAGCTGAGTGTAGATCCCCAGTGTTCTGACGACTCGCCCTAAGAACCTTGTGCAGATGCACTCTCATGAAAGCCACTGACCGCAAGTCACTCTGAAGGAATGTTTCTTTTGCTTCGGGAAACGCAGAAGCTGGGTTAGGGTGAATAAAGAAGATACAAGAGATGGTACTTAGGCAGAGCAGGGTATTTTTGTTTTGTTTTCTCTTTTCTTTTCCTCTTCTTTTTTAAAAAATTGTAATACATTTGCTTAGAAAGATTGGCTTTTTAAGAGGATGTGGGTAGAGGGAGGGTTGGGAAGGAGCTCAGTTAATTTGAGTGGTGCTGACGAGGCTGAGATCGTGGATTCGTCCCCCGAGTGGGAGTGACCACTACCCACAGCTCCGTCCTCACCCACACCCCAGCATCTGCTCGGCAGGAGTGCGCTGTTCGTCAGGAGGTGACCTGAAACACCCGCTGTGGGGAAGTAGTACTCATCCATCACTGCCGCTCACTTACTTGTAAGAAAGAAAGCACTGGGTGCGCGGCCTAAAGAGATGTGAAGTGGGGCAGGGGTGGCGCTCATTTCGCCAGCTCCCGTGCAGCGCTGTGCCGCGTGAAACAGTACCAGGTGCAGAGCCTGCTCGAATAGCACCACTGAGTATGGGACTGCGAAGGAATTGTTTTTCTCCAAAGCTGTGGTGAGTGGATAAAGCAGTGTTTAGTATTCAAAAGTGTATGCAGGATTAATTTGATGTTCACGACACTATCCAAGTACCTGTTTATCTTGAAAGCCCATGATATTGTGGTGCAGAGAATGGAAAAATAGCAAAGCCAGGTGAGTGAAAGTGCTCAAAGATTTTAAAAAGTTTAAAAAGTCATCATTGAAGAAGTCCAGTAAACAGAAAGCCAACCCCTGTGTCCATTGCTCCTGGAAAGTGGGGACACCAGCGTTCATGAGGAAAGCCAGTTGACATGTAACGGGACACTGAGTAGGGGAGGGCACTCAAGGCTTGGGGACAGGTTAGGATGTGCCCTAGGAAAGGGGAGCAGGGTCGCGCACCTGAGGACACAGGGTTAGGTTGCTGTGCCAGCGTCTGTAGTAACCAGTGAAACAGCAAAAAATCTTTTGAAGAAAGCAAAAGCCTGACTCACGCTTTCTCTAGAAATATAATCTAACCTCCTCACAGGAAGGAGACATAGTCACTTCTTTGACTAGAGGAGGCAAAATCACATCTGGTACAGGTCAAGAACTGCTCACGGGAAGGAAGAGAGATGGCAGGATTCTGACGCTGTGAAGCCAGAGCAGTAAACGGCCCCCAGAGATTTGTGTTGTAAACCCTCACTGTTATTTTTGTCGGCATGCACAGTACTGTTTGATATATAATTTGTTGTAAAGTAAATCTATACTGTGTTGTGAGAATGTTAAAAGAACTCTGAAGAACTTTTTAAAAAGAACTCTATTATTGATTTTCCCTTTACTGGTACAAAATACCTGAGGCCACCTGCAACTTAAAGGAGGAGAGGTTTATTTTGGCTCATGGTTTTAGAGAGTTCAGTGCATGGTGGTTGGCCCCAGAACAGAGTGTCCTGGCAGAAGAAAGCTGCTCACCCATGGCAGCCAGGAAGTGGGGACAGCGAGTGAGTGAGTAGAGGGGCTGGGGAGGAAACTAAACCCTTGCAGGTCACCCCGTCAGTGACCCTCCTCTTCCGCGTAGGCGCCACCTCCTGAAAGACTTTGGGGAGGATTTTAAATCTAAACCCTAAATGACACCACCTTTTGAATTTCCTGGGCTCTATCTGTGGGCTTAGAAAGCAGGAAAGGCAGAGTGGAGCTCGTGGCCCCATCTCTGTCCCCGGGCCAGGCTGAAACATGCAGTAACAGGAATCTAATGAGTAGGGAGTACTCACCTCATGTTCAGAGGATGAGCCGGGCAGGAGGGCGATTCAGGGAAACCACAGAGACACGAACTGACTGGGCAGTGGTGTGCGTTGGATTGTTAACAAGAAAGAGACTAGAAAAGCCGTTTATTAAATTATGCTGAAGATTTTAAAAATCATCATTTCTTCTTTCAGAATGCATGCATGATAAATAACAACTCAGTATTTGTGGGACTGGGTATTGTGTTAATATTGATGGCACAGTTAAAAGAGACTTCAGAGTGCACCTTGCATACATGCATGTACAGAAGGAAAACTTCATGGTGCGAAAAAAAAGGACTTCATGGTTCTGCCCTTGCAAGATAATTTCAGAATGTTTTGCACTTTCTCCCAGCATTTTGTTAAGTGATCTAGGTACTCATTAGACTTAACAGAGATAACCAGTGCAGCGTGCCTCCGATACGTTGGCAGCCTGTGCCTTTGCCGATAGCCTCTAACTCCCTCCCCCATCTCCTCTTTGTGTGGTTACCATTGTGTGTGTGTGTGTGTGTGTGTGTGTGTGGCATGTATCTGAAATGTACCACTGCTGGTGTCTTTGAACTTAGTGTTGCTTATCAACCCACATTCCCACTCGTGTCTTAATCGGAGAACCTCTGCCACAGAAATTTAGTCTCTTCCTGAATGGCTCTACTGGATATTTTACTTTGTCCAAAACTGAGTCAGAATTGTCTCAATCTCTTATATTTACCCAACAGGCAAACAGGTTTTGGGCATCAGGACTTGAAAACAGTTCTCTGGCTGGCATCCTGGATCAAAAGCAATCTGCTTTCAGGGAACCTAAAATATTTAACAGTACAATGATACTAAAACCCAAGAAAATTAATTTCTCTTATATGCATGACCACTCACTGGCTAATAACTCCTGCCATTCACCAAAGCATGCCTTAATAATTCGGCCTTGGACTCTGGCCTGGGGTGGGTGGAGAGCAGAGTTTTTGTTTTGTGTTGTTTTGTTAGCTTTTTTATCTTTTTTTAAACAGTTGAGTTGAGAGTTATTTTCTGCACTGTATGTTTAACAATGCCCTTGACTAGGCATCTAAGATATTAACCAGCTTCAGCAGATTATGCGTCTGACGGGGACACCCCCTGCTTATCTGATTAACAGGATGCCAAGCCACGAGGTGAGAATGGAGCAGACTGCACAGGGAAGGCCACGCGCTCGTCCCATTGCCTGTCTAACCAGCGCGGTCTGAATGTCCCTGCAGGCTTGCATGTGCCTGGGGTCTAAGGCAGTGACCGCCTGTGTGCTATTGCAAGATGCTGACATTTGGGGTAGAATGGCATCCAGTCTGTGAGACTGAAAATATAACGAGCTTGTAAACAGAACAGGATGCCACTCATATTTGGTTGTTTGAACTTAGTGCACGAGGGGCTGTGTGACCTTCCCAGGTCTGAGCTCGAGGTTACAGTATGCCGCCATGGGATAACTCGACAAGGGGTGTCGTTAACTGGCATTTATTAGTATGCCTTCCCTTCTTACTGTGAGGGGAAAAAAGAAAAACATTATAAAACACCCAATACTAAAGGGTGTATAGATTTAAAAGCAAAGACACAAATAATGTAGAGTGAATATGAACACTTAGGTAGGGTTGGGTGCTTTCTTTCCCAATTCTTAACCATTTAATCTAATTCTGATTTCAGGATGGGAGGGGATTGGGACACTTCTTTTTAAGGTGCTCTTAATATTGTGAGAAATTGGGCTAATACCTCAGAGGCCCTTTCCAGCAACTCCGTTGCTACAGTATTTCAGCTATTTTTCAGCAGTCTTTGTATTTAACTTTATTTCGGGGATTACTGTTCTCCGGATTTGACAGATCTTATGTGTTCCTTTCCCTTATCTCCGTGCTCAGGTAGAAGGGGATCCCTTCTTGACTGCTTTTTAGTACAACTCCTTTGCCAGTTTTTAGCTCTTTAAAAAATGACCGCTGAGGATTTGTCATAAAGTGCTACTGATTAGATATCTTGACCGACCAGTGCTTTCTAACTTCTGATTCTGTGATCAGAGAGCTCATGAACTTAACAGGATAGCAGTCTCGTTTAGGTAAAACACAGCTGAGAAATGGCAGGAATCAGGACCATGGTCATAAGTTCAGAAGTCGGCGTGGCAGTAAGATGGGTATGCTGCCAGTCTGTTCGCGGCAGAACCAGCACTGAAGACGGCAGCACTGTTACACAAAGTCATTCTGAACACTCTTGTTTTTATAGGCAAGAAACTATATTCAGTCATTGACCCAGATGCCGAAGATGAACTTCGCAAATGTATTTATTGGTGCCAATCCCCTGGGTAAGTGGACCGTATACCCTCATTCTGTGGTATTAAATATGAGGGACTGGAAGAAGTTTTTCCTTTTGACAAAATAAGGTGCCATTAATTACATCTTGGAATGTGATGATGGCATTTATTATCTGTGTTTGTATTGTTGGATTTCGGTTTTTGAGAACCATATGACAAGAGAATTATACAACCCCAGAATTTGGTGGGGAAAGTAGGTCGTTATGGGGTCTGAGCTGAGGGCAGAACCCAGCCAAGCAAACGGTATTGGGGCTCCACACAGGACCCTGCCCCCCACCCCGCTGCCGCTGGCTGCGTGGATCTGTCAGTCACACTCAGTCCCCTCAGAGGCCACGCCACCTTCTCTTTGCAGAGCAGCTTTCCCACCTCAGACTTCAGAGAATGGCTCCGTCACCTCCAGGGGGCCTTCGGGGACCCTGAGCATGCGCATTGCCCGGGCTCACGGAGGGGTGGGGGGTGCTCGAGGGCAGGCCCGGAAGGATAGGGCCAGGACTTGGCTTTTGGTTCAGTGTTAGCTCCGTAGAGCTGACGGCCACAGCGATCTTCAGAAGCTGGGTAAAGGCTGAGGTAGTTTTTCCTCTTCAAGAGCTTCGTCTGTAATGATTTCGAAGGGGCGATTCAGTGTCTCTGTGTCTTAGCACAGTAGAGACGCTGGTGCTCTCTCTCTGCACAGCAGTGGGTGAATTTGAATCAGCCTTGAGGATCTTCGCTGGGTCACACTCACGTCCTGGGAGGGAGCCACACCCATGAGGGGTACAGAGACTCCTACCAGAACTGAATTCAGGGTGCCCCTGCTCTGGGCCTTGTGTGGTTGCGTGCCCTCGCTCTACGCCGTATCCTCTACGTGGAGGATCTGCACAAAGCTCTGGTGGAGATCTCAGCAGGCCCAGGCTTTGGACATGGCAGTGCTCACCAGCCCCGTGAAGAGACTCACAGACTCGCTACTCCCTTCTCGGAACAGGAGATGTGTGTCCCTGCAGTCACTGAACATGCACATGCCGTGCTCTGGAGCCCTAACCTTAACCCTGACAAGAACTAGGTCCACTTAGCAGCAGAGACCGCTGACGGGCAGAGCAGACACCTTGGTGCGGTGGTGCTCAGCCCTGGGATTCTCCTGGCAGCCCAGTGCCGAGCAGCAATGTCAGAGTCCCCAGCTGGGCCCTAGAGCAGACAGACGTCCTGGTCCCTCACCAAGCAGGAGTGCTCCAGCAGCGGAACTAGTAATGGTTCTGCCTGCCAGCCACTGACTTTTTCATTGTTCTCAAAACCTGAACCAAAACTTCACTGGACCTTGGACGTTGCTATCTGTCAAGATCTTTGAGAAATCCCTTTCTCACCTCTGACCTTAAGGCCCATCACATAACAGATGTTCAGTCATAAGATCAGCAGCTGAAAGGGGTGTTTTTCTCAGAAGAAAAGAGTAAGCCACAGCTCTCCCAGGGTGCTGAAGTTTAACCCTAGGGACTGGAGCCAACACTTGTCCGCCATTTGTGTCTGTGTCCCCAGAACTCCTGAGTCTCCCACACATTACTCTGGAATTGGAATTATTCTTCAGCAAGCTTCCTCTGCCTCACCCACCCCACCACCCACATTAAGGACGGATTGGCAGGGTCTCCAAAGTGTTTCTGTGCGGCAGTACTGTGGCGGTGGCTATATTTATCCTCCTGAGCACTGATCCCCATCAGAAAGGTGGGACTAGGAAACCATCGTTTTGTAGCTCTCAAATCACTGATTTGGGAAGGAAACTCAGTGGGTGCTAAAAGCCATAACTGAGAGAGCTGATACTCATCTGGTGTCAAAATATCCCTCAGATTACTTGCTTGGGACAAAAGGAGAAACATCTTAACCCACTGATCAAATTTGCACCATTAGCTGTGAGACAAAGGGCTTCAATGCACTACTGAGAACACGGCATCATCTTGCCATATTCTTACCAGAAGTATCCAAGCTGATTCTTACGGAGGAAAGCAAGGGTGTGGATACATGAGGCACTGAGAAGCAACCGGGTGGCCAGGCGTGATGCACACCTGTATTCCCAGGACTGTGGGAGGCAGAAGAGCCATAATCTCATACACAGCCTGGGAGACTTAATGAGGCCTTGTCTCAAAATAAAAATATTTTAAAGGGCTGGGGATACAGTTTAGTACAAAGGCCCTGGGTTCAATCCCCAGGACCAGAGGGAAAAGTCATCAGGCTTGGTGGTTCATGCTTGCAATCTCAGCACTCCGCTGAGCACTCAGCTGAGGCAAGAGGATTGCAAATTGAAATCCAGACTGCACAATTTAGCAATTTAGTGAAACCCTGTCTCAAGAAAAGAAAAGAAAGGTGTGGGGCTATACCTCAGTCCTAATGAGGAGTGTTCTAAAGACGGCTAGACTGTCTTTTGAGATCAAAACCATGAGTAAAAAAAAAAAAAAAAAGAAAAGGTAGGACATTATTCTAGATTTGAGAGTAAAGAAACAAAATCAAATGTGTGGCATTGAACACATGAGTTGTAACAGACAAGTTTGCCGTAATTATAGAAATTTTAACCAAACAATTTTAAATGATACTGGACAATTATTTGTCAGGTATAATAAAAATATTGTGAGGGCTGGGGATTTAGTTCAGTGGTGCTGCCGACTGCCTCGCAAATGCAAGGTTCTAAGTTTGATCCCTGGTACCCGCAAACAGTTCAGAAAAATAAATATAAAAAATAGAAAATATTAATTTTTGAGCCTAATACTAGATGTTTATGATGTTCATTGTACTTTTTTTTTTACTTTTCTATTTCTGTAAATTTGTATGTTTTCATAGTGAAATTTTTAAAACTAAAATTTTATCCTAACACAGTGTCTCCTCCCATTCCCATGGAGAAATCTTCTGCTTGTTCCTTGTTTAAAGATCTGTTCAATGAATATTTATTTGTCTTATGTTAGTAAGTAAACAGTGGAAAGGAACCACCAAAAAAAGTCTGATTATTGGATTACTTTAGCTATCAGTTTACGTTTTGACTTAGCTTTACAGTGGTGGCAATTTGACGTTCTACAAAAGTTTGTTCAAACAAAAACCAGTCTTTTTTTTTTTTCATTTCTTCAGTACTATAATCAATATATTCTTTTTTTTTTTTTAACCTGTGCTGGGGATTGAAACCAGGACCGTGTATATGTGAGGCAGGTGTTCTACTACTGCATGATCCTCCTAGCCCAGAAATGTGGTTTTGTTTTTGGCACTGGTTATTGAACTTCATAATGAGCTACATCCCTAGCCCTTTTTATATTTTATTCTGAGATTAAGTTGCCCAGGTGGGATTCTAATTTGTGACCCTTATGCCTCAGCCTTGCAAGCTGGGATTCCAAGCACTATGCCTAGCTATATTCTTAAAAAATATAAAATATACAAACACAAAAGGGGGGAAGTGATAATATACCCTAGAGCAGATACTTTGGAGAATTCTTTATTTGGACATGAAGGGTCAAAACTGTCTGCAGATTAATAAAGCCTAATTTTTTATAATATGTTAAAGCTTCTCAATTTTTCCTTCCATCCTGTGCTACTGACAGCTGTCGACCTGCTGGAGAAGATGCTTGTGTTGGACTCGGATAAGAGAATCACAGCAGCCCAAGCCCTTGCGCATGCCTACTTTGCTCAATACCACGATCCTGATGATGAGCCAGTGGCCGACCCTTACGATCAGTCCTTTGAAAGCAGGGACCTCCTCATAGATGAATGGAAAAGTAAGTCCTAAGGGCAGTGTTAACAGGTACCTTGAGAGCCCATCTTTAAAAACATTTTAGCCAGGTTTGGTAGCGCACGCCTGTAATCCCAGCACTCGGGAGGCTGAAGCAGGGAGATCGCCCCGAGTTCAGTGCCAGCCTGGTCTACACAGTGAGGTCAAAGCAAGCCTGGGCTACACAGTGAGTCAAGGCCAGCCTGAAGTACATAGTGAGACCCTGTCTCAATAATCCAAACCAAAAAAAAAGAGCAAGACAGAAAACCTTTTCTACACAAACCACTAGCCAAGCCCATTAGAAAAATAAAACTAAAAGGGTTTCAACCTGCTCACTAATACTTGCCGTTGACGTCCACAGGATGAGTGTGCTCCTCTAACGGAATCTGTCTGTGGTAGATGACGACCTGGACCTGGCTTATGTCTGGTCTGATTTTGTGCTCAGCCCCTCACATCTGCTAGAGCTCTGAGGTTCTCTGGAGTTTTTGCGTTGGAGTATCTGTTTGAGATTAGCGAACAGGGTGTTTTCCAGTTGATAGGACCGAGGCAGGGAGGATTTGTTAGCTGTTGCCTTTGACCCAGTCAGGGACACAGCCAGGAAGAGAGCCACGTCTCCCATTTCCAGTTCATGTTCTCTCCTTAAAACAAGTTCAGCGCTCCAGTCAAATCCCAGTGCCAGGACTCCTTGTGGCTACATCCTCGAGTGCTCTGTTGTCCTTGAGCACTTTTCTCCGGAGAGCTGTAAAGAGGAGGCGCTCAGTGACGAGGCCAGTGAGAAGAAATGGGTGCTTTACATGGATCGAACCTATGCGGTCCTGTGTCCCTCGTGGTCATCATGCACAAGTGACGTGGCAGTCCTACGAGGTGGCCCCTCCCGGTGCTAGCCTTGACTGGAGTGGCTTGAGTTTAGAGGTCAGTGCAGCCAGCAGGGAGAGTCTGAACTCTTGACATCTGACATTTCCTCTGGTTTCCAGGCTTGACCTATGACGAAGTCATCAGCTTTGTGCCACCACCCCTCGACCAAGAAGAGATGGAGTCCTGAGCACCAGTTTCTGTCCTGTCGACCCCACTTCACTGTGAGGGGAAGGCCTTTTCACGGGAACTCTCCAAATCTCATTCAAGTGCCTCTTGTCGCAAAGATTTCCTTCATGGTGGAAGGGGTGTGTGTGTGTGCACGCGCAGCATGTGTGTGTGTGTGTGTGTGTGTGTGTGTGCGCGCGCGTACATGTCCTTATGGAAGGATAGGAGTATAATAAGAGCAATTATGATTACAGTGAGGTTAGGTGGAGTTACAGATGCTCACAGCAGCCTCCTGACTCAGGCAGACAAGGGCTGCCATCATGTAAGGGATGTTAAATGCAAAGTAAAAAATATTCAATGCCCCAATCCCAGTTATACTTTTCCACTCTGACCTGTCCTGGGTCCCCGCACCTGAGATTCCATCCCCTGTGAAGGAAAGCCTCGTTGCCCTTCGGTCTGGCCACACACCACAGCGCACAGAGAGGGCGCTGCCTTCTCGCTGCTTCGTCTGCAGAGGTCCCAGCCGTGCGTTCAGCCAAAAAGGACCAACCGGCTTCTCTGCGCAAGCCGATGATGAACTTGCTCATTGTGGGTCTCGGAACTTGACAGATTCTGTTTGAAACTGTAAATATGTCTGTGCCTTAAAAGGAGAGAAGTCAGTGTAGATATTTCAAAGACTGCAGCTGCTGAGTTCTGAGCCAGGCACGTACAGGGCTGTGAATGGCCACTGCGAGCCGGAAGTCACCAGGCAGCGCTCGGAGGCGGCCATGTCTGCGCGTGCGCAGATATGCATCCTTCGCCTTCGCTCGCGTGTCACCGTTTCTCTGCTTACTCCACGCCCTTGGTGCAGAGCTCTCCCGAGTCCCGGTATCGTAATCACGCGCGGGATCCCGCTGTCAGTGTGCTTGCCCTGTGCTGTCTACTAGCAGAGTGAGCCTGGGTCCTGCACGCCCTGCTGTTTGAGCATGCGCAGCCACCCATCCTGTTTTCTCCCGGAGGCCCGAGGCTAGGCACGTCCGTCCAGGGAGGCTTCTTGGGTGGATCCACCTCAGCTGATGCAGGGGCGCAAGGGACTTCATCTCTTCAGCCACAGCGCTATTTTGTGTGGTGGAACACACTTGATATTCCAGGTGCTCTTGATGTGAAAAAGCAGGGGCGGTGGATGGGTGCATTTTCATTTTTGTCATGTGATTTTTCAACAAACTGATTTTGGGGAGGCGTCATAGAGACAAACGATTAGGACTGTGCCCAGAAATACCCAAACTCTGGCCGGGCTTGGTGGCGCATGCCTGTAATCCCAGCGCTCGGGAGGCTGAGGCAGGAGGATCGCTGTGAGTTCGAGACCAGCCTGGGCTACATAGTTCCAGTTCAGTCTCAACTATATAGTGAGACCCTGTCTCGAAAAAAAAAATCCCAAACTCTGGAAAACGAGCTGTTTGTTCTCTTCACTCCCAGTGCAAAGAAATGCTGAAAAAGTGCGAAAATATAAGCTCATGAGGTCAGAAACTCCTTTTGCTATCTCTCTAATTTTTTTTTTTTTTTTTTTTTTTAATTACAAGGTGTCTCTTCCACCCCTCAATGGAAAGGGTCTTCTTGGCAGCTTAACACTGATTTTTTTGATCTTGGTTAGGGGAGAAAGAAATTTTCTCAGAATTTTGTACATTGCAGGAATTCTTTGAGAATGTGATTCCTTTTGATGGGAAGAGAGGGCAAATTATTTTAATATTTTGTATGTTCACATTTATAAAGATGAATTGTGCTCAGGGGTGGAGAAGTGTTGCTTTCATAACTTTCTGAATTTCAGGCATTTTGTGCTACGAGAGGGCCCACATATTTAAGCCTTTGGTGTAATAAGAAAGCGCAAAGCCAGTTGCAGAGTTGGCTGTGTGACATCTCGTGTTTAGGCCGCGGTCTCCCTGCTCTGTTGGTGCAGCAGCACGCGCACTCCAGAGGGACAGGTCGGACCCCGCTCGAGATGGGAAGGAGGCGGCTTGAGGGCAACCCTGGGGCCTCGCCGTGCGCAGCAGGGTGGGTTTCGTCAGCCGGTGTGGCGTGGACGCGGGGGGCTGCCCGGCCGCTCTCCGAGCTCCCTTCTAGAAAGGTCTCTGCGCGTGACTGTTGGCCGCGTTGGGAGCCCGGTAGGGCTCCCCCTGTTTCTCTGACGGGGAACGGCCTTTTTATCTGTATTCCTGAACCGAGCTGTAGTTACGCCATGTAGAGTGTCAGACAATACCACTGGTTAAAATAAAGCCTATTTTTCAAATTCAGTGAGTTCCTCAAATTTATTATGGTTTTTCTGTTGATTGTTAACTTAATAATATGGCATTGTATCAGTGTTTTTCAGCTGTAGCCTGGCATATATGTCTGACAGATCCTACTATTCCTAAACTTAGAAAACATGTATAGAGCTCGTTAGTTGTGTATCTTTGGTGAGTAGAGTCTGGGCCTTGGGTGTGGATGGGCAAAGCGAAGAGCAAGCCAGGTTAAGTGGCAGGGTTATGACACGGGTGGGTGGGGGCCCAGGGCAGGGTGAGATCCCACCCACCCCTTATTTTTGTGTAGCCTGCTTTAAAGTGGTTTTTACATTTTTAAATGGTTGGAAAAGATCAAAAAAATATTTTTTTGTAGCATGTAAAAAATAATGTAAAATTCAAATCTCAGTGTCCATAAATAAAGACTTAGCAGAATTTAACCACTCTTGTTTACATAGTGTCTGCGTGGCTGCTTTTGTGCTGCATGGACAGCTGAGTAGCTGTGACAGGGACTCCCTTCGGCTCCCTCGTCTCTGTACAGTGAAGTGCAAGTCCCTTCCAGCCTGGACGTCCGGAGACCGTGTTAGCTGTGTGTTTTGGTTTTTAAATTGCCACTGAGAAGGCTGGGTGTGTATGTATCTGTGCACGCCTTTTGCAGGGTTTTAAGCACATGTATTTTATGACTCCGTCTTGTCTTCATAGTCCTTGAAAATACTCTTCAAACTACTGAATTGCACCCCAGGATTAAAAAGCCATGGGGTCTCCTTGCTAAGTTCTCAGGGCCTGTGCTGGTGCTGGAGGGGAACTTCTGTGTCCCAGGAGGGCCCCTCAGCCGTGCCCAGAGGACCCTGAGAGCCTGCGTCGGGAATTCTCTCCTGGGCTGCCCGCCCGCTCAGGCACCTGGGAATAGTAGCAGTGATTAAAGGCGAGCCAGCCACAGGCTCTCTTCCTATCCCTGGCGACTTTTTCTTTTCCCTGGTACTGGAAACTAAACCCAGAGAGCTCTTGAATTACACCCTCCAGCAAATTTAGTTTTTTAGTTTTTATTTTGACAGTGTCCCTAAATTGCCCAGGTTAGCCTTGAACTTTATGATCCTCCTGCCTCAGCTTTCCAAGGAGCTGGGGTCATAGGCGTTGTGCCACCCCGCCTGGCTCCCAGTGACTGCTTGGGAAGGGGAGACGAAAGGGCCTGAAGTATGACAGGAGGAATAGCTGCTCCTCCAGAGATCAGTTGGAGCATTTCGCCTTCACTTCTAGGTGAGTGTGGCTTTCCTTCCAGGCTCGTGAGACACAGCCCAGGAAGACCTGACACCAGAAAGCAGAAAACGCTCGCCCAAAGTGAGCCCATTTAGGACTGGCGATGGCGCTCAGCAGCGCCTGCCTAAGGTCACACAGCAAATTGGAAGCGGAGTCCAGGTCTCACGGCAGCCAGCCCTGCTGGTCCCGTTTGAGGTCTCCGCCCCGACGAGGTCCAGGACTCCCGGGGTCGGTCTGTGTCCTGACGGGGACGTTTACGTAGGAAGAGGCCAGCTCGAAGGCTGGCTGCCAGGGCGACCTCGGGGCAGCAGGGCCGGGACCCCATCAGAGCGGGGACGCCCCAGCCAGGGAGGGAACGAGGTCCTCTCCACCTCCGCCAGGTTCTGGGAACCAGGAACCGGGAGACAGGTGCGGGGCAGGGCGCGGTGGGAGGACTGGTCCTGCTTACGCCGAGCTCTTGTAGAGTGCGGGTGCACAGCTTGCACACCTGGTGCCTGTACCTCGTGCCAGGGGCCGGGGATCCGACAGCCGTCACACGAAAAGCCAGGAAAGAGCCGAGAAAGCCCAAAGGCCCTGCACAGGCTGCAGCAGTGGGACGGTGACGCCCCTCCATGCGCCACAGCAGGCCTGACTCCAGCACAGCCCGGCTCGGCCTCCTGCATTCAAAGCACACCGCGCTCGCGCTCTGACCCGAGGGAGGCAGGCGGTCAGCTCCGGTTCACTCGTTCACTGAGGGCAGGCAGGGTGCTGCCCCACCCTCACAGGCGTTGCCTACCGGTGGAGATGGACACTGACTAGGAAGGACAGCAGATGATGACCGAGAGCAGGGTGTGGTGACGCCTGTAATGCTGGCAAGATGGACACACTAGGAAGGACAGCAGATGATGACCGAGAGCAGGGTGTGGTGACGCCTGTAATGCTGGCACTCTGGGAGGCTGAGGCAGGAGGATAGCAAGTAGAGCCCAACCTGGGCAAGGTAAGACTTAGCAAGACCCTGTTTCACAATGAAGAGGGCTTGGGGATGTAGCTCAGGGTGAAGGCCCTGGGTTCAATCCCCAGTGCTGAAAAACAGAAAAGGAAGACAAGATTATGATGAAGGTTACCAAGCCCGAGGCCAAGATCCAGGCTGCCCGTGGCCGCCTCTCCCAGGCTTGCCCCGGACCGGGCTGAGCAGGGCCTCCTTTGCAGAGCCGTCCCCGCCCGGGTGCTCCGCCAGGGGGCGCTCACGCGGAGGGCGCAGGGTGAGGCGCCCGCACAATTGCAGAAGCTTCGGGCTTATCCTGCAAGGAGTGCGCCGCTTCGACCCCATCCTGCCCGAGCCCCCCGATGGGGAAGAGGCAGTGGGAAGAAGAGGCGGCACCCCTTCCGAGTTTCCGGGGCCCACACGTTTGTCCCCAGGTGCTCCAGGCTGACCCCGAGGAGTCTCCTAGCACATGGGGACGCACCGTGCAGGGTCACGTGGGGACAGAGGGTAACCCCGACTGCCTTGGTGGCTTTCTCCACTCCTGTAGGCACCAGTGCTGCCTCGCAAGCGCAAGGTCCTGAGTTCGATCCCGGGTATGGGTGGGGGAGTGGGGGACGCAGGGATGTAGCTCAGATCCCTGAGCTGTTTGTTGGTTTGTTTTGGCACTGGGGATCGAACTCCAGACCTTGAGCTTGTGAGGCAGGTGGCGGCACCTCTGAGCTAACTCCCCGACCCAAAGCCCTGAGTTTGATCCCCAGAATGGAAAAAAAAATTGTTTTATGGTGAGACAGGGTCTCAGTACGTAGTCCAGGGTGGCCTTGAGCTCTCAGCAACCCTCCTGCCTGAGCCTCCTGAGGGCTGGGATTACAGGCTGTGCCATCAGGCCTGGTGGGGCAGGGATCTTTATCTGTCCCTGTTCTGTGACGTCCCCTGGCCGGGATCACTCCCTGGCCTGTAGTGGACCCACAGTAAGCAGATGTTGAATGAACCAGACTACTGGGTGGGTTCGTGGCAAAAAAAAAAAACTCAGCAAAGGAGTTGGATTTGAATTGGAGCTGAATGGGGAGCCAACTCCCGGGCAGGCACAGGTGGGGCTGGGAGGGCAGGGCCTGCTCCCCGAGAGTTCCAGCATCTGTGAGCACCTACTGTGTGCCCAGAACCGAGCCAGGCCCTTCTCGTGTAGACTCAGCCTCGCAGTGCCCCTGGGAGGTGGGTGCTGTGAGCCACTCCCCTTTTAGAGGCAAAGAGACTGAGGCTCTGGGAGGCTCGATGTCACACGGCACTGAGAGTCACAGATCGGCCAGCACAGGCACAATTCCTTCTGCTCCTCCCGCCTTCTCGCAACTTGGGATTGGGTGGCCTTTGAAAGCCCCGGAGGACCTAGACCCCCGCTCTGGGCTCCTTACCTGTCCTGTGCATAGGAGCAGGCTGTATGAGGATTTCTCTTCTGCCTGTCATGTGGGACAGAGGTGGCACCCAGGGAGCTGCCGCGCTGTATCCCCGAGGCAGTGCGTGGGGCTGTGGCTTCATCGTCACGTGGGGCCTCTTCTCCATCCAGCCCGTCTCCACCCTGCCACGGCTCCCGCCAGACAGGAAGGTGACAGCCACTTCCCGACACCTGCTGGGCACGAGGAAATCTAGGACAGACCCAGGAGCCAGATGCCAGGCTGTGTACTCAGGATGACCTTAGGCGGCTTCCTCAACCTCCCTCGGCCTCGGCTGCTCTGTGTGTGCTTGGGGACAGACACAAGCTACCCGGTCCTCTCTGCCAGCACAGCACAGTCCCCGTGTGCTCCACAGAGCGTCACACACATCATCACGAGGCCACTTGTCGCCAGGAGAGGTCAAGACAAAAACCAGGCCACTCCCTCTAAACACACAAGACACGAATGTGTCCACACCACAGAAAGGACCAGATGGCCCTCTGTGACGGCTGATCTAACAGCTGCTTCTTTGCCTCCCTCAGGGCAAGCTTTTTTAAGGCACCAGGTCACAGAATGACCCCCATGTCCTGACTGCCCCGCGTCTGTAAACACGGCCCCAAAGGACCTAATACAGCCGACACCTCACAAGTCCTTCTGGACGCCTCTTCCCGAGCTGCCTGGCACTGGCTCTGGCCTGTGTCCCTCCCTTGCTGCCGGGTGCTGTGAGGCGTGAACCGAGCCCGGCGTGGCCCGGAACCATCCTCAGCCTCTAAATGTGCCTCTGAATGTCCTCTGTCCCCACCTCAGCTGCCTGCACTTGGGCTTTTCCTCCCTGACAGGTGATGCACTTTCAGGAGCAGGCTGAGGGGGCCCTGTGGCTCTCTCTCCCAGACACGGCTCCCACAAGGGGCCTCCGGGAGCCTGGCTCTGGCTCTGGTTCATCTGCACATGGCCCCGCCCAAGCTGAGGCACAGGCCTACCTGTCACACTTCAGGGTCACCAGTTTTGAAGAACAGGGAAGCTCCGGGAGGGTAAGGACTTTGCCCGAGGTTACATGGAGGGCGGTGACAGGGTGACAGCCATTTTAGACATTCAATTGCTTTCTCAACCCCGCCTCCACTGTAATGGGGCAGCCGAGGCATCCTTGCAGGGAGGAGAGGTGCCAGGGCCGGGCGGGCACCAGGCTGGCCTCAGTGTCCTCCTCCAGCTCCTCCTCCTCTCCGACCAGGTACCCCAGGGCGCTTCCCTCCCAGCGGCCAGGCTCCAGGCTGCTGAGTAAACTCAGGGAGGCGGGAGGTGGGGGTCACTGTCAGCTGAGCCTGAGGCCTGACTCACTTCCTGACCCTTGCTCAAGAGGTGTCCCGTCAGGACTGCGGTGCCCAGCTGGCCTGCAAAGGTGGCACCGCGTGGGCAGCGTGGCCTCCCTGCTATTCATCACCCCACAGAGAGGCTCCAGCCCTGGCCCATGGCAGGCACAAGCCCCAGCCTCTTTCCCTACCGGAACCTCTGCCAGGCAGAACCCCGGGTCACCCGGGGAATCTCTGCTGTCCGTGCCCAGCCCTGCCATCTGACCTCGGGGACCCCAGCCCAGCCTCAGGATTGCTAGGGGACCTGGCACCTCCTCCATCCTCTTCCACGGGGTCTCTGGACCTGGGTGGAGGACAGGGCAGGGAAGAGTGGGGACAGTGGCTGCGTCCTCTGCTGGGGACGAGTGGAGGATCAGCAATGCGGCCGTGTTCTTCCAGGAGCAGAGTCTCAGGTGGCACTGACTGGCAGGCCTCCCTCTGCAGTCCAGCTGTGTGTGTGAAACACTCGGAATGTGACAGACCCACGGCAGACAAGCATGTTCGTTAAATAGACCTGTGCATTCCCATGCCCTGCATGTACTCCTGGTGGGCACTTCTGTGGTCTCCTGTGCCCCCAGGGGTGTTTCTGGTTATGCCTGGTGAGGCAGCCCTGTGTGGCAGGGCTACGGCCTGGGGCCCGGCTGCAGGCCCCTAGTGCACCTCCAGTCTGTTGCAGAGCCCTAGCAAGCTCCTTTCCTTGTTAAGCCCCCCTCTCAGCGGGGCAGGGTGGTGCACAACTGCAATCCCAGATCTTTCGGAGGCTGAGGCAGGAGGATTGCAAGTTCAACCCAGCTTGGGCAACTTGGCAACTTAAAAGAGACTGTGTCTAAATAAACAAAGCAACAGCAACAACAAAAGCCAGAAAAGAACTGGGAATGTAGCTCAGTGTGAAGACCCTGGGTTCAATCTCCAGAATGGTACAATAAATAAATGAACATAATTTTTATGTTTTGTCTGTGTCACTTAAAAAATAAAATGGGGGGGGCAGGGATTTAGCTCAGGGGCAAAGTGGTCTCCCTGTCAAGCGCAAGGTCCTGAGTTGGATCCCTGGCACCAAAATAAATAAATAAGTAATGAAATAAAACTGGAGGCAGGAGTTATAGCAGTGGCAGTGCTTGCCCAGCACGTCAGGCCCTGGGTTTAATCCCAGTACCATTTGCCTGCCTCTGACGAGTGATGCTACGCCCACCCCCATTTCTGGCCTCTCACCCTGTCCCAGGGAGCCTTTGCGATTTCATTTAAAAACAGAGCCTGCTTTGGGCTTCACAAGCCACTTAGTCTCAGGTGTTGGGTGTCCTTTCCTCATAGGGCACTAGAAAATTACAAAAACTGTCGAAAACCAGAAATCTGTATCTGTATGGACATTGGTTTTAGAAAATCAGTGCTATTAATTTTAGGTGTAAGCCGGATGAGGTGGCGCACGCCTGTAATCCCAGCACTTGGGAGGCTGAGGCAGGAGGATCTCCATGAGTTCGAGACCAGCCTGGGCTACATAGTGAGTTCCAGGTCAGTCTCAACTACATAGTGAGACCCTATCTCAAAAAACAAAAACAAAAACAAAATTTTTTTTAGGTGTAAGAATGATACTGCATCTTTTTAAAATCAGGGTTCTTTGGCGGGGGTGAGACAGGGTTTATGTAATTTAGGCTGGCCTTGAACTCACTATGTAGCTCAGACTGGCCTCAAACTCATGGAGATCCTCCTGCCTCAGCCTCCCTAGCATCGAGATCACAGGCGTGTGCCACTACACCAGGCAAAAATCGCTATCAACTAGAGTCAAAAACAAATAAAAGATGAAATAATTTTGTTCCTGAGTCTGGCTTCCAAATAATGGGGGATGGGCCGGGGATTTCGCTCATTGGCTCCACATCTCCCTGGCAAGCGCAAGGTCCTGAGTTGGATCCTCGGTACCAAAAAACAAAACAAAACAAAAGACCCCAAAACAACAGGGAAAGAGGAATGTGGGTGAAATGAAGTTGACTGTGAGTTGCGGGGACGCCGAAGCCGAGGGCCGAGCTCTTCCCAGCCAGCCTAAGGGTCCCGGCCCGCACCTGCCGCAGGAGGCAGGCGGAAGTGCGGCG